CACACACATAAAGAAGGACAGAGAAAACAAATCTTAGAGAACTGACCTGTAAGAGATGAAAATACAGAACAACAGTAGAAAATGTCCACACTGTCACATCTATTATTGAGAGGAAACATTATAGAAAATGTCCTGATGTAGGGACCATCAGATGGCATAATGGTTACATCACTGGACTCCCACATAGTCGCCTGGGATTTGAATCCTGGACTCAGCGACTTAAAACTCTTGTTGGGTGAGTGTGCATGCATGCCCAAAATCCTGAAAAGAGAATGAAGGAGAAGGGACTGCAGTGTGGCTATCCCCCCGGGGGTGAGTACTCACTTTTTATCTCTCTGTCTCTGTCTCTTTGGGGTGAGTACTCACTTTTTATTTCTCTGTCTCTGTCTCTTTGGTGAGTGCACATGTCCTATAGCAAAAAAATATAAATAAGTAAAAATTTAAAAATTAAAAAAAAAACCTATCCAAAAAAAAAGAAAAGAAAATGGCCTTATGTGAACTACCTTCTCAAGAAGTATCCACACATTTCAGGGAATGATAAATAATGAAAATTACTGCTATTTACTGAGCTCTTACATGCTTCAGACATTGAGTTAAGCGTTTACACATATTTAATCTTCATAGCTACCCCTTGGTGAGAGCACTGTTAACTTTATTTTGTCAAAGAGGACACTGAAGATGGCAGAAGTTGGGAAACATGCCTAGGTAAGAGGTAGAACAAGATTTAAACTCACCTTTGGTCTATGCCATGCCCTTAATCCATGTCATCGGGCAGTGAGAAATCTGGATATTGAGTGAGGAGACATGAGCATGCATCCTGATCTGCTACTGATTAACTCTACTGCTTTGGGCCTCGTGTCCCTTACCTAAAAACTGACCAAGTCTGGGACCAGCAGTTAGCGTAATGGCTATGTCGCTGGACTCCCATGTAGTCGACCATGTTTCGTGTCCCGGACCCGGTGGCTTAAAACTCATGCCAGATGCGTGTGCGTGTGTGCCCAAGATCCCGAGAGGAGAATGGAGGAGGAGGGATTGCGGCGTGGCCATCCCCCCAGGAGGTGATATCTCACATTCTGTCTCTCTGTCTCTGTCTGGCAAGTGCACGTACCCTACAGCATAAACCTCTCCAAAAAAAAAAAACACTGACAAGTCCATCCTAGAGAAGTTACAAAGGGCTGTTTCAGGCCCTAAACGCTGAGTTTTTTAAAATCAGTAGTCTATGGTTTACAAGAGACATTTAAGTCACAAGGCACATACACAATAATAGCAAATTGTACTCATGGGCAAATTTTAAAAATAGGGGTTGCCATCATGGTAGCAGATGAAATTATTTATGAAATAAGAAGAGAAAACTGAGATACAATCAAGGTAGTGCCTAGAACAGTGAAGACCTAGTAATGAAACTGAGTGCATGGATAACAAATGTGTAACAGGAAAATACATACAGCAGGAACTAGCAGAAATGCAAGAAATGCAGATCAATCTGTATGTCTGTGTATCTGTCCATTGAAAGAAGTGTAGTCAGGCCGGCAGGTGGCATGGTGGTTAAAGGCACTGGATTCCCGCATGGCTGACCACCGCTCGAGTCCCGGACCTGGTGCTTGCTTGCTTTCTCACTTTCCCTCTCTCTTTCTCACTCTGGCCCTCTCTGGTCAAATTAAATAAATAAATAAAGTTAAATAAAATATAAAGAAAGGAAGAACTGTAGTTAAAGACTATGTCAAGACTTGGAAAATGTAACTGGTCAAGAAACAGAAAAAGAGGTCAGGAGGTGGTGGTGCAGTGGTAACAGCCGGATCAATTTGGGAAAGGTCCTGGGTTCATGTCCTGAGACCTCCCTGAGCACACACACACACGTACGTGATCCAGGATGGTGAGACTGGGGGCAAATTGTGTGAGGACCCTGTGGAGGATACCTCTCTTTCACTCTCTCTCCGTATCCCTCTCTCATGTAAACTCTCCAGAGAGACACAAGGAGAGAGAAGGAAGGTGAGAAAGCACTCCCCGTCAGGGGGGATGACCATACTGCAATCCCTTCTCCAACTTCCTGTTAGGATTCACGTGCTCAGTGTGTTTTTCAATCGGCCAGGCCCAGGACTTGAACTGTGCAGTTGACCATGTGGGATCCAGCTGCCTTAACAACCACACCACCTGACTGGAGGAAATATCATTTATTTTTAAAAATTAAAGATAAAAGAAACGAACAAAACAAACCAGAAACAAAAAGAGTACTGGTAAGAAATTTCAGGAGAGAAATGGGAATGCCTAATAAAATGGAAGGGCAAAGAACAAATGGAAAAATGAAACTGAAAGGTCCAAGTATTAGCATGATACATTGCGTGAAGCTACACACAAGACAGAATAATACACTGAAGCAAGTAAGTGGGAAGAAAAATCTGTCTTGCTCTCGAACATAAATGGTATGTAGCTATTATCAAAGGGTGGAAAGTTTATATATATCACAATATCCCAACCACGTGTAATACTCTTGAAAGAAACTGAGAACAGTTAGAAAGTGCTGAACTCTTTCAAAAAATTTCGAATATGTCCTTATATAATTTCTGAGTTGGAGACAAGTTGCTGCATATAACAAAAGCATTTTTAAATGCAAATTAAATGCTCGCTATCCTAAGTAAAGAATTGTTATAAATACATTTGACAGTATCCAAGTCTTGTGTAATGAGAAGATAGTTTATAGACAAGGAAAAACAGACACAAAGTCACGTGAATAAATGCACATCTTTCGTGGCTTAATGAATGCAAATGAACATTTGTTAAGGTTTCATTACATGCCTATAAGACTAGAAAGAAACCAAAATGATAAAACCCAATGTTGACAGGCTTTCAATGGTACCAAGTTCGGTGCTGGAGGGATGGAAATGAAAAATAATAAATCCCTACCCTCGTGGACTCCAGTAATAAAGAGGGCCAAGTCTAATGTAGTGGATGGTTCGTAAGCATAATCATAAGCATTTAAAGGAATCCTTGAGATTTATTGGTTAGTTAATTGATTAGTGTGTTAGTACAAGGACTATGTCCATACAGAGGAAAGGTAGCTAGAATATAGTATCCAGCACCCAGGGCCTGATACGTAGCTGTTCCTCACTAAACATGTGTTGAATGAATGAGATGTGCAGATGGAATTATAGCAAAAAAGTAACACGCAAATCTTGTCTTATGTACTCTGATGATGCTCTATACAAAGATCTATATATTCACTTCAAAAGCTCAAAAGGGATTTTTCAATGATATAAGTAGAACATACATCTTCTTTCTGTCAAGGTGCTTAGATTCATAATATTAAAATTTAAAAAAATCATACACACATATGATACACATACCCATAACACCACCAGTGTGTTCCAACCCTGTGTGTGCAAGGTACTCCATTCTGTTTGGAGGCTTATGGTTCTAGACTTGGGAATCTAGACCAGCTGTTTTCACATCTGGCTGCAATTAGGCTCTCTCCTGAAGAGCTTTAAGCAGCCCCGGTGCCCAGGCCCACTGGTTTGTTTGGCATGACCTCCAGAGAGCACTCATTCTAGAGTTCAGCTAGGCCACCAAGGCCGCGGAGGCAGCAAGACATTCACACACCTTTGCTCTTCCTTACAGAAATGGGCTCAGTCATCTTTATGAATCAGCCTTTATGCTATCTTCATGAAGTCCTGATACAAAATGTTCTTCCAATGTTCTTTTCAAAAAGTACTTGGGGTGATCCAATAGCCCAGTGATTAATGGAATTGGATTCCATATTGGCCAGCTGGGGTTGGAATCCCAGCTCCAGTGGCTTGAGGAACATGCCAGATAGGGTGTGTGTGTGTGTGCCAACATCCCAACAGGATGGAGAAATGGAGGAGAAGGGATCATGATGCGACCATACCCTACTGGGGGTTGCTTTGTCTCTCTCTCTGTCTCCCTGTCTCTGGAGACCTCATATACCTTCTGGCAATTAAAAAAAGTACCTGAACTGTGTAGGGCATAGTGACAACTACACTCTAGATGCTGGGGTTTCCCCCACCCCCCCCATTAACAACTGTCCAGAGCAGGCAGGCAGGGAGGAGAATGCTACTGGAGGTTGTTTTATCAGGCTGTTCTCACCTCATTGGGAAGGAGATTGGGTAGGCACTGCTGGGCCATCTCGCAGAGGCCACAGAGGTCCTCCAGGAGTGAGAAGGGCCTTGGCCAGAGAGCTTGCCTTGGTAATGAACTCCCAACCTATTTTGTTCAGGTGATAAGAAGGAGCCTGAAGAGGGACCAGCAGTTAGCTTAATGGCTATGTCGCTGGACTCCCATGTCGTCAACTGCAGTTCACGTCCCGGACCCAGTGGCTTAAAACTCAGGCCGGAAGCATGTGCATGCATGCCCAAGATCCCGAGAGGAGAATGGAGGAGAAGGGATTGCGGCATGACCATCCCCTCTGGGGGGCGATTTCTCGCTTTCTGTCTCTCTGTCTCTCTGTCTGTCTGGCAAGCGCATGTGCCCTATAGCAAAAACCTATTTTAAAAAAAAAAAAAAAAAAAGGAGCCTGAAGATAGAGATCTGGGATTGTGTGTGTTTCTGACACAGAGGAACCTGACAACCCAGATCGCAGGCTGTGCAGCTTTTGACAATGGGAAACACTGTCAAACGTCGCTGGGGAACACATGATGGAGACTGCGTTTGAAAGTGAAAGTGCAGTGATCTGGGACCTGGGGAGGGTTCCCTGGGGCTGGAGTGGAGAATATCACCCACTAGGCATGTTTGCTGAGCTCTGTGCTGCGTCCACATTGTTTTCCAGTGCCCGACGACCTCTCCAGGACTGGGGTTGGGTCTGGTAGCCTTTCCCCTGTCCACAGTGTGACAGAGCTCATGGCTATCTGCCTCAGAGCTTGGCAGGATCTCGCTGCACCTAAGACAAGCAGGGCTGTGTGTTGTCTCTAAAGTGAATGAGGACTTGGGATCAACGTCCCCAATTGGGCCAGAGGGTCTTGTAGGTAACTACATCCTTTCCCTTCCTCCAGGCTGCCCATTCTCCAGGGAGGGACCTTTGCTTTTGTGGCACCCTCTTTGGCCATGCTGTCCCTTCCTGCCTGGAAGTGTCCTGAGTGGACATTCAATGCCAGCCGGGTGAATACCAGCTCCCCCGAATTCATCGAAGAATGGCAGATGAGGATCCGAGAGGTAACGGGGCAAGGGAGGTAGGGCTGGTGGAGTGGAGAGGGAACACGACAGGGCTCCAAGTCAGCTCATTTGTTCAGCATTCATTATCCAACTCTGGCCAGCAGAGCCCGGGCATCCCAATACTTCAGTAAGAAGACCGACAAGGTTCCTGCGCTCATGGAACTGTCATCCTTGTAGTGTGTGTGTGTGGCGAGCAGGGTGGAAAGGAGACAGAGAATTACTCCAGCAAGTAAATGGATAAAGAAATTTTCAGGGAGTCAGAGTAGAATAAAGACAACAAAACAACATGGTAAGCAAGAGAGGGATGGGAGCTGGGGGTGAGAGGTGGAAAGGATAGAGGGTGAAATAGGTTTTCTTGGAAACCCTCTTGCCTATTTCAAGGAGGAAGAGCTCAAGCATTTCTCCAGCCAGAACTGGGTGGTAGAGAGTTTTATATTCAATGATTAAAAATAATGAGTTGAATACTCATCAGGAGCCAAGCATTGTGCCAAATATGGGGACTACAGAGGACAGGGACTCACATGATGGTGGTGCTGCACCTGTGGCTACTGCTGTGGGTCGTGGCAACAGACCATGGTACTGAGCTCTTAGAGTTTGAGCACTCTACTACCAGGCTTCCCGGATGCACACGCGCCATATTGGCCAACATCCACAGGAGGCTCACATGAATGGAAAAGCCAACACGCAGGATCAGGGCTCAGCACCATTCTGTAGGTGGAAACTGCCTGCTTATTCCACCCACTTTGGGCGGTTGTGCTCCTGGGCTTTTCCATCATGAATCTGACCTCTGCTGAGTTCCACTGTATCACAGGGAAAAGAAACTGGGGGCCTCGTAGCAGGCTCTGAAATCTGGCCGTGTTCCAGGTCGGCTTACTTAGGTGGTAGAGAAGGAAGTCAGCACACTGGGGATTCTTGGCAGAGAGTTCAGCCATGCCTCCAGGGATGGTAGACTTGATAGCTTCACGACTCCAAGATCCTCATCTGAAGTGGGGGGCAGGTAAGGGCAGCTCAGGGGTGGGGTGCAGTTGTAGACGCTACTGCATGAGAGAGCGAGGGTGCCCTAGACCTTTAGGAAGCCCAACAATCTATTTTGCAGACACAGGTCTATATAGACAGGCCCCGAGCTGTGCTGGAACCAGCTTCTCTGGATCAGGGGCAGCATTACAGAAACACAATATGGTGGCAGGGCTCCACACAATGTAGTTCGCTCAGGCATGAATACCACCTCATGGAACAGTACCAACTCCCTCAAGCTCATTAAAACTGGACCAGGGACATTTCTGAGCACAGGGTCCAGTGCAGAACAGTTCCCTGACCTCCCTGGAAGCCAAGCTAACAAGTCCTAGACTAGCCAGGGCCCAGCTCGCAACCCACCCTGACCCATGTTCAGCGTCATCATAGCCTCATTGCTGCACCAATTGTCACTCCTTTGTATGTGAAATACAACGGAAGATGACAAGCAGAGGAGATGACAACAGTGGGATTCCTATTCCTACCTATATTTGACCAGTGAGAGGGAACAGAATCAACAAACCCACTTGGTGCCTAACAATACTACTCTCTGTTTGATAATATTGCTCTACTTTGATTTTTTCCCCCTTCCTTCCAAAGTTTGAACTGGTATTGTTCAAAGTAAAATTTTAATTTAAGTTTAGCAACCATACAGAAAAGAACACAATGAATTTCTTCAAACTGAACTTACACACGTAACCTGGTCAAGAAACAGAGCATTCCCAACACCCAGAAGCCACATCAGTCCTCCTTCCGGTCACTCCTCCCATGGGGGAACCACTATCCTAACTGCTAACGTCACAGATTAGTTTTGCCTATTTGTGGACTTGAATTTGTAATTATACAGTACATCCTCATTTGTGTCTGATTTTTTTTTTCATTTGATATTACCTTGGCAAGATTCTCCCATATTACTATGGATAGTGGTAGATTATTCCTTCTCTTTGTTGAATAATGGTCCATTTGTAGATGTTTAGCAATTCACTGATCTATTCTTTGTTATCCAAACTGTGTGTTTAAGGGTGGTTTCCAGTTATTCAGTATTGTAAATAGTGCTGCTACAAACATTTGGCCATCCTTCCCCAAAGGTGGAGACATGTGGGTACTTTCAGTCAGTACATCCTATGAGCGGGCTCAGAGGATGCACATACCCAGCTTTAGTAGGTGCCACCGAATGCATTTCCCAGGTTGATGCGTGTGGGCTCCGATGATCTCACATTCTCAGAATACTTTCTACCTTTTTCATTTTAGACATTCTGACAGTAAACTTGTATGACGCGTTAAATGATTTAGGGCTCACTATAATTGTCCCTCCTCAACTTGAAGTTCTACTTGATCTCCCAGGGTTATTTTATTTTAATTTTTGGTTTGTTCTTTTCTTTTCTCTTTTTTTTCTTTCTTTTCTCTTTCTTTCTTTCTTTCTTTTTTCTTTATCTCTTTTTTATTTTCAGAGATTTTGCTATAGGGCATGTGCACACGTAGGAGAGAGAGAGAGAGAGACAGACAGACAGAAAGTGAGAAATCACCCTCCAGGAGATGGGCATGCTACAATCCCTTCTCCGTCTTCCTCTCAGGATTTTGGGCATGCACGCCTATGTGCCTGGTGTGAGTTTTAAGGCACCAGGTCTGGTCGACTGTGAGAGTCCAGCGACGCAACCATTACACTGCCTGCTGGTTCCTTGCTCTTTTCTATGCTTACCACATTGACCGGTCACTGAGTTGAATATCCTGGTAGACTTTGTTAGATAGACTCATCTTCATGATATTCGTTCCATTCAGAATCATGTCAGTAACCTACAAATTTCTTGCTAGACCATGACATCTTAATCTAACAGAAATTCAAGTTCATGGTCAACAGACCATGTCCTAATGCCTGCGTTACATTAGGAATTGGCCACGTTCACAACATGCACTCCTCATGTCCCTTCACGGTAGCCTAGTACATCCTGGGTCCAGTTTTGTTTTTTTTTTTTTTTGAGAGATTTTCACTGTAGGGCGCGTGCGCTCGCCAGACAGACAGAGAGAGACATAGAGACAGAAAGCGAGAAATCACCCCCCATGGGGGATGGTCACGCCACAATCCCTTCTCCTCCATTCTCCTCTCGGGATCTTGGGCACGCACGCACATGCGCCCGGCGTGAGTTTTAAGCCACCGGGTCCGGGACACGAACCGTGGTCGACTACGTGGGAGTCCAGCGACATAGCCATTACGCTAACTGCTGGTTCCCCTGGGTCCAGTTTTGTTAAGATACCAGCAGTTCATGGTTTCCGGTTTGGTAGACCAACTCTGATGCCAGCGCCCTTCATCCCAAACTGAAGATATACTTGGGAATATTGCTAAGAAATAATTTTATTCCCAGAATCTTTTCCATATAAAGGGCAAAAGTAGTGCCATTCAGCAGAGTAATCTGTCTGGCGGGTCCAGTTTTTTCTGCAATCATCTTTCACTTTCCCCACTGGGAGCCCTTCTTAGCCCTCTCCCTTGCTCCTGTCAGGAGTTTGAGTCCTTCTCTGCTCTCTTTCAAATAGTGGGTGGCAAAAGCAACAGTGAAACGCGCTTCACGTGTCCTTCCTCAAGGTACTTTTAAATGATTTAGTGACTATATTGCAGCTGAATCCTTTCCACTGGATAAGAGGCATCTTGAAAATACCAGACTTTCCAGTCTGGCCCATAAGTACCATCAGAATTCCAGCAGGGGAAATGAAATAGGTTTACATATTCCTACCTTAGGGAATGCAGCCAAATCCCTAGTCCCAGGACAAGGGGGCTTTCTTACGTCTTCATTTCTCAGCCTGTCCCTTAGAAACTGCCTCACTGGCAATACCCACTCGTGCCCCTTATGCCATCATGAGATAGTGTTTTCCTACTGTGGGAAACCTGCCCTTTGTTCTTCTGTCACCAACATTTTGTTGCTTCAAGCACACATTCCAATTTTTCGAAAGTATTACTGCTTTGGGACCAGCAGATGGCATAATGGTTACGTCACTGGACTCCCATGTAGTCAACTACAGTTCAAATCCTGGAGCCAGTGGCTTAAAATTCACACTGGGCACATGTGCATGTGTGCCCAAGAACCTGAAAGAAGAACAGAGGACAAGGGATTATGATATGGGCATCTCCCCTTGGGGGTGACTTCTCACTTTCTGTATCTCTGTCTCTATGGTGAGTGCATGCACCCTATAGCAAAAATCTCTAAAAAAGTTTGCGGCTTTGGGAAAATGATCTGCAATGTGAAAAGATCTTTGATACTGCGTTTCTTGGTCCATTCCTGCCTATTGGCGCTGTGGAATGTGACCCTCAAGCTGCTGCTGTGTAGATTGATCTCGAACTGGTGGGCAGTCTGGGTTACCAGTCTTTTCATAGTAGCCTGAGCCAGAGCTTTACTTGCAGAAGAGGCAAAGCTCAAGCCAGAAACACTGTCAATACCAGTTTTTGTTTTTTTTTAAAAAAAAAAAAAAAAAAACCCTCCCATTTCCCATGCTCTGTGGTATGTGCAGTGTAGACGGCTTTCCAGCTCCGTGATGGGCTGCGTACCCTCGAAGCACATCCTCCCACAAAGCCATAGGAGCCCATTGCCGTTGGCAAGCTGGACCATCTTGGGTAACACATATGAGTTCGGCTGGAGGGGAGGACTGTGAGTCACACGTACATGGCTTGTGGCCCACAGTGTCATCTGTGGACTCCAGTGACTCCGTTCAAAGACATACTTCTTTCCTTTTTTTAAGACATAGGGACAACATGAATGATCAGTATTTGAGACTTGATGATAAAGTCCTATCTTATGAAAGGGGGAAAATTTAAGTAGAGCGGACAAGGATTCACTTGCCAGTTCAGTTAGTCTGTTGGCTACAGACCAGCAATCTGTATAATGATATCGGGGATAATGGTGGATATTTACATATACACAGTCACCACATCACAAATAACTCGGTCCGCTGGCCTGATGTAGACTTTCCTTGCTTTTGTCAAGAGCCTTCTGTTGGCTGGG